TCAGGCAAAGTAAACACGTACACCATGAACTATAACACGCACACACGACATATCCCAAATGAAAATACTACAGAAGCACATAGCTGTATTTCACTGTATCATAGTTTTCTATGTGTATGGGTTTGACAAAGTCATGTGGTACGCTTTGTGATATGATGTTGGTCGTTTTGCTAGGTATAAAGACAGATTCTCAAATCGAGGTAGGAATATGTCCTGCCTGAGGTACTGAATTTGGGAGTCAATATTGGAGTATTGGATGTAAGAAAATGTATTCGAATTGGGTAGGGGTCAGGTTTAGCAGTAATTATTTGGTCGAGATACATTTACCTGAATTCTGCTGAACACGAATTCGCCATATATATATATATATATATATATATATATATATATATATATATATATATATATATATACGTATGCCAGGTCTTCTTCGGGATCGATATCAACTAATGTAATCTGAGGACCAGTAGTGCTTATCAACGTCTCCTTCCGGCCAGGGCAGCAAGGCCTACGCTTCTGCCATTCAGAAGGCTGGACTTCTGACCAGGGAGGAGGAGACACAAATTCAGCGTGGGTTGGACCAGGTACTGTTGCCCTTTCATAACCTATGACGGAATATGTGGGGCGTTCCTACGAATGATCTCCAGCCACGCTGATGGATTCCTCAAACGAGACTGTCGTGTGTGCTCCCCGGGAAAGGCGGATAGTTTTGAAAGCTATTGGCATTTTATTGCGCTTCTCTGTTGGCAGCCGAAAAAAGCTCCTCCATGCTCGCTAGTGGCAGGGTAAAATATCGCCTTGGTGACTGAGTACCCTTGCGATCCAGCAAAGGACGCGCTTGGTGACATCTGCACAATGTGTATACCGATATGGCGGCGGACGGCGATGCCCCGCAGGTCCTGTCCGAGTGGGAGACCGGCTCGTTCGAGGTGCGCCCCTCGGACGAGGACATCCACACGGCCAACGAGCGGCGCCTGACCGAGCTGGTGGGCGCGCCCGGCGCCAAGCTGCACACCGGCCGCAGCCGCAACGACCAGGTGGCCGTCGACACCCGGCTGTGGCTCAGGGATGTCATTCAGGAGCAGCTGGAGCCGCTGCTGCGCGAGATGATCACCGTGAGTGGCTACACTGTACAGTGGTGCCGCCATGGAGTAGTTGAAACCGATGATGCGCGAGATGATCGCTGTGGGTGGCTACACTGTACAGGGGTGCCGCCATGGAGCAGCTGAAGCCGATGATGCGCGAGATGATCACCGTGAGTAGCTACACTGCACAGGGGTGTCGTCGAGGAGCAGCTGGAGCCGCTGCTGCGCGAGATGATCACCGTGAGTTGCTACACCGCACGGGGCGTTGCCGGGGAACAGCTGCTGTCGTTCGGGCGTCCTCTGGATCGAACGTCGATGGACAGGGGGAATCCCCTTCGTTAAATAAACTGATAAGGTTGCGGTTTATCACTTAAGTGTTCTCTCAGCGAATGTTTAGCCTTGAGCTATCAGCGGGCACGTCCTGCCGCGTGATGGTGTTGCGGTCCGCGCTGATGGCGGCGCGGTATCCGTAGACGCTGACGGATCGCGCGGAAGCGGAGGTGGACATCCTGATGCCGGGCTTCACGCACCTGCAGCCGGCACAGCCCGTCAGGTGGAGCCACTGGCTCATGAGGTCAGCTACTCGCAGACTGGGCGCTCCCTCACAGTCACGTATGGGGTCTGGTGCATTGTTCGCGGATGGTCGTTGCTTCGATTTACCATTAATGACGGCGAGAAATGGCATTGCCTTGTACACGGAATGAACAGGCACCCTGCATGCCAAAACTGGTCAGGTGCTCAGGCGGTAGTCCGTGCCGCTGTTATGGTGGTGCAGCGGCTCATGGCCGCCCCGGCGTCGGCAGCCACGCCTGGTTCCTCCGCTCCGACCTGCGCCGCCTGCAGCAGCTGACGCAGCGCGTGGACAGCTGTCCGCTGGGCTCCGGAGCCCTGGCCGGCAACCCGTTCGCGGTGGATCGAGCCGCGCTCGCCGCCGAGCTCGGCTTCACGGCCGTCACGCCCAATAGCATGCTGGCCGTCAGCGACCGCGACTACATCGGTGGGAGACGATGCGGACCGCACCGGGCGGCAGCGCCGTGGCCGAGCCGCACCCCGCCGCGCTTGTGTGACTTCGAAGGGTCGCAGAAAGCTGAGAGACGGGGACGCTCCATTAGTCGATGAAACGTCTCAGTGTCCTCGTTTGCACGTTGAAAGAAGTTTGGGAAATTGGTGTCAATTTTAACCCCATAAATGCAGAACTTTCCTGCCTGGCTTTGTTCTAAATAACTTTTCGTTGCGGTGCAAGGCGTTGCGCAGAGCCTTGCTGAGTGGCAAAGATCCACCCCCTAGGAAGTTGTCTGTAGCAACACTGGCAAAGCCCCAAAACACACCCTTCCTACGAAGAATCGGTCGTGTAACAAACGGGATTTCTGGCAAATTTAGTAACCATTGGAAGAGCTCGCTACTGCTGGCACGGCAATTGAGTTATAACACCATCTCGGGAACATCTCTCGCTGGCGGCCCGCCTGAACGTGACGCTTCCTCCCGTCACCACCAGCCGAGTTCCTGTTCTGGGTGTCGCTGTTGGGCACGCACTTTTCGCGGCTGGCCGAGGACCTGATCATCTTCTCCACGCCCACCTTCGGCCTGGTGCACATCGCTGACGCCTACAGCACCGGCAGCTCGCTCATGCCGCAGAAGAGGTGAGTCAGTCCTGAGGGCCGGCTCTGGGCGTCCGTCGTCGAACCGCAACGGCCGCGGTGTCACCAGGGCTTGTGTGTGTCATTGGGGCTTTACGACGCGCTCAGCTGCTGAGGCTATATGGCGTCGCCTACCTGTCACCCTGGCAGGAAGGGCGGGCACCGCGGGGAATCGAACCCCGTACCTCTGGTTTCCCAGACGCGCAATGGTTAACGCAGACACGTTAACCACTATACTACCGGCACCCCGTCACCAGGTCTTCATGCCCAGACGCTAGTGCTGCACGTGACACCAGCAGTAGCATGGCGGTCATTCGCAACGGGGGTTGCCCAGCACTCGAGGCAGATGCGACGAGATAGTTTAGATGCACGACCTTTTCATGGATGCACGATCGCCAAGCCCGCGCCCTGTTGGAATGCTACGGTTTCAGCCAATGCCAAATCACTCAATGAAATAATCTTACTTGTTATCAGAGTCGACGCGTTGTCCTTCAGGCTTCTTGAGAACGCGGACCTCCGGTCCATTGGTGGATACAAGCGCTTCATAACATTTTAGTCGGTTAGTTCATCGCTTCTCGGTGCATGCCTCACACGACGACGTGGACGTGCTCGCCGCGCCCAAGATAGAGCATCCAACAGCCGGCGTTTACCGGATCTGCCCTTCTGCTTGGCAAGCGGCCTACCGAGCCGGCGTCACGGCGCGCTAAATCGGTCCGGTGTGAACCTCAGGAACCCGGACGGGCTGGAGTTGGCTCGGGGCAAGGCCGGTCGCTTCCTGGGCAACTGTGTCGGCCTGATGACGGCGCTGAAGGGCACGCCGTCAACCTACAACAAGGACTTCCAGGAGGATAAGGAGCTGCTATTCGACTCTGCGGACAATGTCACCGGTATTCGGCGGCAGCTACGCTATGTTTAAGAACGTTTCGGAGACGCACTGTACATTATATTACTGGGATGATCATATTTATATCAAGCACCCATATTGGTAGATCATCGCTTACGTCGCACTGAGTCAAGAACTATTAGCTCCAACCACGAGAGATGACCGAGGCCAGCGCGTGCGCGTGCGGAGCGTCACGCGCGCGGCCGCTCCGGCAGGGGTGATCCGTGTCATGACCGGAGTCGTCTCCACGATGACGGTGAGCGCCGCCAGATGTCGCCAGCTGCTGTCTGAGGGCATGCTCGCCACCGACGTCGCCTACTACCCTCGTCAGACAAAACGTGAGGACCCGCACATGCGGCAGAACAGCTCGCGCCAGTCGCCGGCAGCCCCTGCCCGTTCTCCGCCACCTGTGACGCCACCGCGCGATTTATGTGGACGCTTCGCTGCAGCCTTGTGACTGGGTACCGGCCAAAGTGCAGGCTCTGGCGGCTGGCGGCTGGGCGTGAACATGTCTGGCGGCTAAGCGTGAGCATCAGGCGATTTAAACGGCGCGCAAGTGTACACAGCGTCGTTGCAGCCAAATCTCCCCCGTACGGCAGTGATTCCCAGTCCACCGATGAGCCCGAGCATAACACGGCACCGTATCTGCCGCAGGTACCATTCCGTGAGGCGCACAACCTGGCCGGCAAGTGTGTGGCTCTGGCCGAGGCCAAGGGGGTGCCGATGCGCCAGCTGTCTTTGGACGACTTCCAGGGCATCAGGTGGGCGGCGAGCTTACGACCAATGTATGAGAGTGCCTGCGTGCGCACACGCTCGCGTAGTTCTCCCGCGTATTATCTGCACGGCATTGGAAATTATCCTGGTGCGGTGATTCGCTTGAAGCGGTCGTGATTTTCGTCTGTTTAACCTTGGCGTACCTAACATTGTCGCCTCAACATCTGATTTCCAATCGCTTATTTTCCATGGGTATTATACTTCGCAGGCAGATTTTTACGCCGTCTCAGCCTGACCTCGTCCGTTCCGTTTTTGACGAATGCTGTGGCGGCGCGTTCCAGCGCGGCGTTCGGCGCCGACGTTGCGTCCATCTGGAGCTTCGAGGCGAGCGTGGAGCAGTACCAGGCCGAGGGCGGCACCAGCCGGACGGCCGTGCTCAAGCAGGTGGCGCAGATGAGGGAGAGCATGGCCGCCGCCTAGTGGGAGGACGGCCCACCCGCGCCGGTACAACGACCACCAGCGGAAGCCCGTGGCCGACCCCCCGGTAGTGCCGCTGACAGGCCGCGACTGCTCGCGTGCCCAGCGGCCCGACGGATCTGATCGGCTAGCGTATACAATCAAAGATTAGCGAATCTTACGGTATAACTGTTGCCGTTTTGTACGAGATGTAAACGCATGGTATACAGAACACCCAACTACAGCCTTTTATTCACAAAATGAACCAGCCTGCAGTTGCACAGCAAGCGGCGCCCAGGCCAGGTTGAGTACTGAGTATTTGGCAGTAGTCTGCCGGGGGCAACGGCACCACCGCCGTTCGCCAGCAGCCGACTCTTGACCAGGGAGAGCCTCTCCTGGAGGCGACCATCCAGCATTCGCCGGACACAAAACAAGTCATCATGCCGGTCAGCAGCTCACCGCGGTCGGCACACACACGCCACGCCCAGCCGCCCGTCCGGTCCGCGTCTCCGCTTGCCAACGCCTCTCTGCCGCACACGCGCTGCGCTCCCGCGCCGCCTCACCTCGCGGCCAGGCTCCGGATGAGGCGCAGCATGTCCGCGCGCATCTCGTCGACGCGCTCCTGGCTGACGGGCACGTGCCGCAGGTCGCTGCCGCCGCTCAGCCGACGCGCCACCTCCTCGGCGTGGCAGAGCGCGAACACGCCGCAGTCGTAACCGTTGCGCTGGCAGCCGCAGGCGGCCTCCTCCACCTTGCCGGAGAGGCCGAGTAGCGGCGCCAGACGGCGCGCCATGCGCCGCGCCTCGCGCTGGTTGCCGTAGGCGAGCGAATCGTAGTGCAGGCAGCGGCGGCCGACGGTCACCAGCAGGCTCCAGTGCGTGCCGCCGGGCGCGTCGGGCCGCTCGCAGTCGTTGATGATGAAGAGCGCGGCGCGCCGCTCGGCCAGCCGCAGCGGCGCCAGGAAGGCGGCCAGCTCGCTCTCGGCGCAGAGCCGCGCGAACTGCGTCACATCCGGCCCGACGAACGCCAGCCCGGCGGCGGGGAACGCGGCGTGCTCCAGGTAGTTGAGGTAGAACTGGATCAGCTTGTCATTGAGCCAGTGCGGCCCCTGTAGCAGCTCGCCGTCTGACTCGTGCAGCACCGAGTCGTGGTAGCTGAGCAGCACCGGCTCCGCCATACTCTCGGCGCCCGACGTCCTGTGTGCGCCCAGCCTGCGCTGCTATGCTGGCGCTGTACTGGATTACAGTGGAAGGGAGGAAGACGCGGGGTAACGCGTGCTCACGCTGTTAAAGACCTGCGCCGCGTTGGTGGATCGCAGTCGCTGCCGCTCTCACGGCGACTGTGGAAGACACGTGACCCGGCCGCACTGGGCACCGGGTCCGGCTGGCCACCTCAGACCGTGGGCGTGCTGCTGCCGACGGGCGTGGGCGAGCCCTCGCCGGCCAGCAGGCGGGTACGCCGACGCGTGTAGTGTTGCCAGTGCAGGATCTGCTGGTCGTCGATGAACTTGGCGCACTGCGAGTTCACCAGCTCTTTGCGGAAGTGCTCGTATTGCAGCAGGTCCAGGAAGTGCAGGCACATTGGGTACCTGCAGCAGATGGGGAACACCAGTGATGTGTGCATTCACTGCGGCTTCTCGCTCAATGGCGTAAGATGTTGGTAGGCCCGAATCTCCGTCATCTTAAACAAAAATCATTCATCATTATCATCACAAACATAATCACACTGGTGGGTGGGCGTAGGTAGCTCTATGTTCAGCTCATGATGCAATGGATTCAGGATTACCATGGTGTGCAAACAAACCTCACATTACAAGCCCCCAACACAGTGGTGTTCGAAACTAAACAATGGTGAGCTGTTTCTTATTACATGCACAAGCCACAATGGGATACTAAACACAAAGCTGTCCAGGAACACTGGCAAGGTGGATGGCAATGGATTTATAATTCAATCATTGTGGGAATATACTGGCAAACATGATGTATTATGTGTTAAATGAACAATACTGACCACAAGCTTTCGGGCCTGATGACAATATGTGGATGGTTCTGCTTCATTTTCATCGAAAATCACTAGCTTGTGTACTTTCTTACACAATACAATGTTTTAAAGAATCAGTACTTACTTTATGTACCTGACATACTCTGGCTTTGTCCAATATTTCAAGTACTTGAGGTAATTGATGAAAGCTTGCTGCTTGAAGTATCCCCGCTGAGCAAGGACTGCAAATATACAGCGTGTTTTGTTGAACTGATGCTGTGCATGCAACTGTGCTGATAGTTGCATTACATCAAACTGATCTTTTATAATCACAATCTGACATTCTGAGGCATCACTGATTTTCAGAGTAAATGCAATGGAAAAATCAGCTATTAGATCTGCAACAACTCAGTGATGCAAGCTACTATGCATCAGTAAATTATAATGGTAGACATATTTTTGGAATGTCCATGGCAAGTTAATTGCCAATCCTTTCTAAGTGTTACCCAATAAATTACTTACAGTTCAGGTAGTTTGGGTTAGCCAAACACTGGACAAATTCTAGTTCAACCTGGAATCTTAATTTCTGTTGATCATCACCCTCTGAAAAAAACAAGTGCCATTAGCAGTGTCACCATGATGTTGGCTAGAAACAAGGTGCACAACAGCATATTTCACAACTACCGCAGACTACCAAACAATCTCAGCCAGGGTCGAAATATGTGAACAGGACACCAGGCAAATCCTCACCCAGCTGCTGCCCTCTGAGACATTGTATCATAACATCACAGATGGGTATGACCACATGACCACATGAAGTGGGGCCAGTGCAGTTAAGGATCAAGCACAGTTAAAAAAGATCAAATTTAAGGATGCATCACATTTAACAAGCCTTAAAATATGGACAAAATGTGCATTAAGTGTATCAGTCAGGCAGGCCAGTTTTCCATTGTAAACTTTTAAACATAACCCCCAATCTAGTCTGAAGAATGTTAACCTATCATGCAATGTTATCAACTCATTTCTTTATTTCTTGATTATATCCTTGTCCATGCAACACTACTACCAAGGGCAGCTTCTTCAGTGGTTCCTTAAATCTTACCATTGCATGTGCCATTGCCCATCCTGAAATGATTTAACATGACCAATATAGCATTTACTATGATTATTTTATAGATTCATAGCACATAGTAAACAGCAATGAGCAACATTCTGGTGTTAATATCAAACTGGAAAAAACATTGGGGACATATAAACCTAAACCATTGGAAACATATCAACCCAAAGCTTGACCCTCCTCCAAGACCTTTCAAGGATAGAAGGCTTGCTGTGTGGTCATAGTTGAATTAATGGATTAAAATTACAGCATAAATCAGGATGTTCTACAACTCTTCCTCTCTGTCTCTGTCTCTGTCTCTGTCTCTGTCTCTGTCTCTGTCTCTGTCTCTGTCTCTGTCTCTGTAGCTGTCTCTGTCTCTGTCTCTGTCTCTGTCTCTGTCTCTGTCTCTGTCTCTGTCTCTGTCTCTGTCTCTGTCTCTCTCTCTGTCTCTGTCTCTGTCTCTGTCTCTGTCTTGTCTCTCTCTCTCTCTCCTCTCTCTCTCTCTCTCTCTCCTCTCTCTCTCTCCTCTCTCTCTCTCTCTCTCTCTCTCCTCTCTCTCTCTCTCTCTCTCTCTCTCTCCTTCCTCCCTCCCTCCCTCCCTCCCTCCCTCTCATTCACTGTCTCCCCCTCTCTCTCTCTATACATTACATATGTTTTATATACTATCATATCCTGTTCATATTTCATTAAATAACTGACCAGGAAAAAACATTTGATTGAAACATTTTAATTGGATTTCTGCATTCAGAGCTTCTGCTCAGCAGTGCTTGTTGAGTGAATTCAGGCCCCTACCAACCAATCATGCAATTTCAGATTAAAGGCAGAATTCGGTAGTGGATTTTAACGCGCTGCATTGCTCAGCACGATTCATCCAGCCCCCTCACGTCATTTGACCTTTATCGCGGCTGCTGCCACCGGCCGCAGGACACCAAGGCCAAATAGCGAGCACACTTAAATGACTCAAATCAACCCCACCACGGGTGAGTGGATCGGAGGCAGGCCCTCCAACTAACTGATTCATCGGGACAGACAATAGCCATCTGAATGTCAACTAACGACACAAAAAACATGCCGTCAAGCATCATATTTATTCTTTCAGTCATAATCGGTTGCGAGCCAGCGCATCCCAACTTCAAAGGCAAACTTACCAGCCATAACACAGCAAAACAGAGATCGTCTAAAATGGGTATCCTTTCTCGCCTTATAAGCCCAAAAAACTGAAAGGCCCTGCAAATACCGTTAAATTCCCTCGCAGGCTCACGTTCGCGTTACCCGAAGGACTCGCACGCCGGCAACAAGCGGCGAAATCCAACGAACACAGCGTCACATCTGCTTCCGTATGTTGCTTACTGAGAGCAGTTACCTTGGGCTGGTTTGTTATACCCCTAGTGGGTACCAATAAAAGACATATTTTGGAGGCAAAAATATGGCTAAACTTTGGTTTAAGGGACATTTTTCAAAATCAATTTTTCAAAATTGTCTTGAAAACTATATGCAAGAAGGGCATAAACAAAAATAAAATAAAACTGAACAACGACAGACATAAGCGAAGCTCTTCCTGGTGCATGATAGACAAGGAGCGGCGCAAACACCTGTGTACGATATTGATGAATGAAGGTGTTTGCGCCGCCTATTTCCCAGGCAGGTGTGTGTGTGTGTGTGTGTGTGTGTGTGTGTGTGCTTTAAGTCAGGGTTCTCTCCAGCTGGGCTAGAATATGGATAACGAATTTTCCGGCTTCTTAATCGCGCGTACAATTGTAAAGAGAGCTATGATAACAGGCGCCGACAGGACTGTGAGCCATCTCTCATTGAACTGCTAACATCCATCCTCGTTGACTGGTAAAACAGAACAAAAAGCGTGGGAAAGAATTCCTTGAAAACTACTTCGAAAATGATTTAAGTTAATATCATGCTTTACACAACATAGAGTGATAGCCAATTGACGGTCATTATATTCAGAAATTTTGTTCACAAGACCCAGATATGACTGATACGACAACCACATTTGTCGTGGCCTTGGTCACTGCATGGCCGATGAAGCGGCAGGATTTGAATAATGCTTTTATGGTGTTATGAATGCCTGGGTGATCTTTCACAAAAAACTTAGTGCTAGCTCACCACAAAGTGTGCACAAAATAGGCTGTGCATCTTTGTGGGTGTGTTCCTCAAACTAGAGGGGTATAGGCCTTAAAAAGGAGGTTTGTGAACTGCACCAAATGATCTTCAAGGCTGCATCATGGCTGGCTTCATTGCATGGCTATCATGGCATGGCTTCATAGCTGTATCAGTTCCAAATCTCATGGAAATGTGGAATGCTCCCATCAACTGAAGCCCTAAGGCATATACATGTCATAAGCATCTACTTCACCCAACAACATGACATGTCTTTTTGGTGTTTTTATTAACTCACTGTACATTTTCATTTCTGGTGCAGAACTGCAGAGCTGTGAGGTGCAGCAGTTGTTAAAAAAAAACATACAGATGGCTGGCAGGTATATTGTTAATACCTAACCATGATTAACCACTTGAATATGTGTTTGGATGGGAGAGTCAGTTTGACCATCCTATTTGCTGTCTCTATGAGGCCTCATTTAAGAATGTGTTTCATCTTCCTGGAAGCAATGACAAAGCTCATGATGCTTTTTAGTTTCATGCCTGATATACAAGTATCTATTTGGGTGATTTGGATAGTGGTATACACAAAATCAGTTTCATGAAGTTTTAGTAAAGTCAGAATAATGGTTGATGAGTTTTGCCCTTTGGTGCTTCTGTGTGATCACATGGCACTGTGGCAAGTGTTGTAATGGAATGTAACTCAGTGAAGAAATGTTTACCCATAGAATCATTGGCCTGTTAAAATTAATAAAAAATAACAAAATAAAAAATAAAAAATAGCCTATAAAAATAAAAGAAACATATGGATCTTTTGACTTGATTCCATCTATAACCTTTACACCATTCACACAATGTATGCAAATATGATCAAGTGCAAGCATTTATTTGCTAAAGGCCAGGGCTTGTTGAGTAAGTGTTTTACATAGATATATTTTGGCCATATTGGGGGAGAGCAAGAAGGTATAGAAAATTGAGCCTCATTGACAGTTAACACGGCAGCTAATAAAGTGGAAGTAAATGTGTACGGTCCATAAAATTTTAATTGGCAGTCCAAAGCTGCTTTTAATTTTTGATTGACTATTTACCAAGTCAATAGTTAATTTGGTTTTCATGGTGTCATCCACGGAGTCAGGATGACTCATCCTTGCCTTGATATTTGTGGTGCTCCTGATTAATGACACATCTTTTTTTGTTGCAATAATGCATGAGCAGATGAAAGATATTGTTGCATTCTCTTAAATAAGATGTTGGGCAATATACAACATGGCTGATTCTGAACAAATTTAAGGAAATGGGGTGCTTAAAGCAGTTGATTCAGATCCTGCATGCCAAATCATGACAGTGGTGAAATAGATCAGGCACTTGTTGGGGTGATATTCAGGGCACTGCTGAGTGTCCTGCTCATTGATCAAATCTTGTGTGCAAGTGTGATGTTTCTCTATCAGATGGAGAGTGATAAGTGCCATCAGCTTCATCACTTTCTCTGGGGAAGATGTAGTGCAGTCTTAACTGAGATTCCATAAAAGAAGTCGCGGTGAGGTACCATCATACCTGGGATTGGTCACATACCATGATGAAATAGTGGCGTTGCAATGATGAACGGCGTCGATAATCCATGATGTATCACATCTTACTGCTCATGTTTTTCCTTCTCAACTACCATCTTGCCAAGATGCGGGCTTCCGATAAAATTGCGGCGTTGCACCATACCACTGGAATTAATGTGTTAATCAGACACTCCTGTTAAGCTCTTTATCTGACAAACATACATTGAACAAGCATTCACCACTATTCGATCGTGCGTACATTCGGTCGTGGTGTCGGTGACGGACGAGCCATCGCGGAATTCTCGTCAATGTGTTGCCCCATCTCGGTCCGGAAAACGAGCACTCATAGACCGGGAAAAATTTGTAAATACAGTTTCGAGATGAATGTCGCTCCGCCAAATTATGGATGGTCCAGTTGCTGAGTGTCAGAGGACTTAAGGTCGCCCCAGGTCACATAAAGCTACATAGGTCGTGTAGTAGTGGTGGTAGTAGAAGAAACACTACACTTCTAGTAGTAGATCACGTGACATTAGTTCAGCTTAGGAAGTGACGCCACCCACACCAGAGTGTAGGAATAATGTCAGAAACTCTGGTTCTTTTACGATGTTTGCGATGCACTATCTCACACAGAGGGATCCTCTTACATGGTTGGAAGGTGCCCTTGCTGTGTGACGTCACAACATTGTCTTTGGCTTTAATTCGTGAACAGGCAATCTGATTGAGCTTGAACTTCATGAACGGATTTTCCATCTAAAGTTATCCTACAAATACCTTCAGTTGAAATCTCCGAGATTAGTTTTCCAACACCATGTCTGTGCGGACGATTTGTCATGGAATGCGTGTTTGTGTCACTCATATTCCTAATCGATCCGATTTTTATTGCGTGTTAAGTTTTTTTGTTGTTTGCGTTTGACTTTGATGCATCAATGAAATGTCTCTCCAGGTGGTGACAAAACCTATGGAACACTGATTACCAAATGACCCATCAAGATTTGGGCCCAGTGACGGGACAAACATAGTCAAGGTCATGTTCTCGGTACCAGATAACTACTTGCAATCAGAAGATATTGATGATGATGATTTGATAGACCTTCCTCCAGAGGTGCTGGCTGCCATCGAGCAGGTGAGTGGGATGTTTGCCGGGGAAAATACGTTATTTCTGACTTTGTGTGGGGTTATCATAGCTTTGCGACTTGATAAAGGACCATTCTGTAGAAACACCCGCTGCGGCTGCGGGTGTTTCTACAGAATATACTCATATGTGTACCCATATGTGTATAATGTACAGGATATAGGCAGCACCCTCTGTTCTGCTCATCTACTGAAGTACCGTCGGGGATTCCGTTGACCAAACTTGTGATGTCTATATCCCTTGGCTGGTGGTTGCCGTTCATGTCCTTCAAACATGATGAGGTAGTGCATCTGGAAGTATCTTTTTGTATCACCAGGTGAACATTTTTGTCTTGTTTGTGCAGGTCTTGCCCAGCAATGACCCGTTGGACCGCCACGATTTTGACGTGGTGGACTACATCAACCAGCTGTTCCCCAACGAACAGTCGCTAGGAAACATCGATGATGTCATCTCATCGATGACGGAGCGGGTGCGCAGCATCGACCAAGAGATCAGGAACGTGGTCAGAGGGCACACCAACGCCGGACAGGTGAGCTTTGCACGTGGGGTCGTGACCGTAGTCAGGCATATCGACTTAGATACATTCCATATATATATATATATATATATATATATATATATATATATATATAACCCATTGCATACAAGGAAGCATTAATTGGTGTGCGTTCGCGCGTCTGGTAATCATTTCCATGCCTAGCTCGATGGCTCTGTGCTGGTCGTTTTAGTCCTGTATTTCGTAAGACGGCTTCAGACGCGGAGCGCCGGGCGCTTGGAAAACTGACCTGTGCTGTCCCGCCCGACGGCAGGACGGCAAGCGGGCGCTGGAGGAGGCCCAGAAGTCGATCATGCAGCTGTTCAACAAGATCTCGGAGATCAAGGGCCGGGCCGAGCTGTCGGAGCAGACGGTGAAGGAGATCACGCGCGACATCAAGCAGCTGGACCAGGGCAAGCGTAACCTGACGGCGACCGTCACCACGCTCAACCACCTGCACATGCTGGCCGGCGGCGTCGACACACTTCAGTCAGTACACCGCTGCTGCGGGGCGGGCGCCAGTGGCGGTGCTGCTTCAGCGGTCCGAGCGGATGCCGGGTGCCGTGTGGAGCCGGCTGCGCTGGTCGTGTTTATTATTGCGTGATGTAACCCATTGTTTCTCACTGAGTGCGTCATTTTTCGCGCCACAAGATTTGAACGGTGACGTGATATAATGTATTCATTTGTTTGATTATTGTTGTGTGCGCTGTTCCGAGGGCACTGCCTCCGTTGTGCCCTCTGCCGAACCTGTCGTTGTTGTGAGCGCCGTGTCGGGCCGGCGCTGCGTCTGTGCCGGACACAGTCGGGCCGTGTGGCGTCCCCTCCCGTGGGGTGACACGGTTACCCACCGGACACAGTCGGATCGTGTGGCGTCCCCTCCCGTGGGGTGACACGGCTACCCACCGGACGCAATCGGACGTGAGGCGTGCCCTGCGCAGCTGTGGGGTGACATGGGACCTGATCTGGCCAGGTCTCAGATCTGTCAGCGCCAGTACAGCGACATC